TCTTTAAGAGTGAGTGCCTTTAAGGGAAGGTGCAAGTTGTTTAAACAGACCATTTCTTAAGACGTAGTGTCCGATTGAAATGGAACTTGAACCTGACACATCTTATAAAATTTTGAAAAATACTTAATTTTTTAAATATCCTAAAAGCAAAAGGAGTTCATTCAAAACCAAATTTTCAATGTGGCTCTGATAGGCAGCTTACCCTATGGGAGGTGCTGTTTTCGTGAATGGGTACCACGCATCAAATACGTTGTTTACCTGCATTCATAGTATGGTTATCTGACCATTAATATTTTAAAATATGGATTCAATTTGCATTTGATACTCACTCCATTTTTAATGTGCCTTTCTAAACCCGTTTCGGAAGCTAGCAAGCAAGCACTTCAATAACTCCACAGTAGATTTAGTGAAAATTCACTGTTTGCCTAGAATAACAGCTAAAAACCATGATTTGTCACTTGTGACTCAGCAGCTCAGAACTACCAAGGATGAGAGTTGATGATAATCAGGCACCCTTCCGTCCAGGTCCCTTCCATCATGTTTGCCAAGAAGGTTTTTCTCCCTGTGGTTCTCTTCCAGCTGCTTGTCAGTGTGGAGCTAGGTGTCACGTTCCACGTCTCTCGTCTCATTTCGATGAGAGTCGCGGTGTTTCTGTATTTCGCCCTGACATGCCAGCTGCTTTCTGTCGTATCCTTGTACCCTTTCTTTCCTAAATTATGTATCTCCTCTAAAAGCTTACCCTGCCTGGCTTCCTGGGGGCAGCTCTGTACAGAGGGTGTGATGTGTCCTTTTGCACTAAGGACAGACTGATTCACTCCAGTGTGATTTCTTGGCTCTTCTCTTGCTTTGTGATCACCGATTGAGAAAATTGTATTTTGTGTGTATGCACGTGTGTTTTACCTTTTAATTTATTATTCTTTAAAATCACCCTACTAGTAAAATACAAAGCCTGCAAAGACCCTGCAATGGTAAGTTATTTGTGCTATTTATTTTCCTGGACAAAATGAATCCACGTTGTCAGCCTACTAGAACATTGTTACTGCTGATTTTTGGAAAGCTGGATTTTTTTTTTAAAGCAACACTTGTCATTCATAAACATAACTTTTTAGACATCTGTGGCATCTAAGTGACTATACAAGTATTTGCAGCAGCATACAAATTATTGGTCATTTCCAAAAGCTCATTGAAACCCTAAATTTTTTATGATTGCTATGGCTTATTGGCAAATATGCCTTATTATCCACTGGTTCCAGATGCTGCCAGAGCATTGCCTGTCAAGATGGGGTAGTGGTTTATAGGGAAAATAAGGCAAAGGATATTCAGTATCAAGAACAGCAAAAAAAATCAAGGTTTTCCCTGCTCTTATATCCTCAGTGATGTAACTTTTGGTCTAACCTGGAAATAAGTACAGCTTTGTCTGATGGGGTTAGCAATTCAGCCACCAAACTGAGAGATGAGGATACGTTCCTGAGGAGAAGCTTTCCAGGATTACTTCCCAAATCCCTCTGAGCGGTCTGACGTGCTTCCAGCATCTGTCAGCACCACTCTAATGCCGGAGGACAGGTTAAATGCAAGGCAGCTCCTGGCACCATGTGCCAGCTGCCCTCTCTGCCCCACCACGGCCGGGCGGCTTGCTGTCCCACTCAACCTGAGCGCGCAGAGCCACATCCCTTGAGCCGCCACGTATCGTAGGTCCGCTGGAAGCAGGGCTCACCCGAGCACGTCCAGTGTGCAGGGTTCAGCCTGCCCCAATTTCTTTGGTGCCTCTAAGCAAGCACAAGTGTTAGAAACAGTAGCTGACGTGATGGATGTGCATTGCTGCTGAACTCCCATTTACAGTTATGTGCTAATACCAGGTGATTAATCAATTTAGTAGTTGACTGGCATCACTGTGGACTATTTTTCAAGCAAAAGTTGTTTTGACAACACCCACACAATGTAGACTGGAAAATTGGCCCCCAAAGAACCTGCAGAGGGCTCCACTGGTGAATTGCACAGGGGATGTGCACCTCTGAACCACACAAATTCCCCAGTTAGCATCCTTTGGGTTACTTCAGTAACATTTTTTGGTCATGAAAAAGGAAACCTTTAAAGAAATTTGGACACTTGCTGTTAGTGGCGGAGAACTCACTGGTGGCATCCAGATGCTCTTCGAACTTCTAGTAGAAGCAACTGAACAAATTTAGCATCAAATATCTGCCCTTCTGCTAATTCACAGTTGTAAGGTAAACTACGTCAAATGTGAAGACTTAAGACCTAATTAGGAAATAACCTCATGCATATTTATTTGATTGTGCAAGCATATTAATTACTGTTGGATACTAGAATAAAAAATGTGGCCAAGTGTGTTTCAGTGCATGCCTGGGTAGAGAATATTCACTGGCTTTGCTTGTTGGGATTTTCAATTTGTGAAACTTCAGGAATCAGTGGATGACATTATATCGTTGTCTAATGCCTCTGCAAAGAACTTCTGGGCCAAAATAAGAGGTTATTATACTGCCATGTTCTGTAGTAGAGCAATGGGCTCTGCTTTTGTGTACTTCAGTCTGACCTTGGTAGCTGAGCATGGAGAGGATCTTCACAGAGCTTGTGCTCTGGGCTGCCATAGCAGCTAGGGGCAAGTCTGGCCCAACCTGGCAGATGTGATCAGCTAATCAGCTAAACCCCAAAATGTCTTTTACTTTGATCCAGTTTAGCTGATATCTTCAGTTTTCTGTATTTCTACGATGCATACACTTTTGCTGGGTTTCTGGTTTGCCTTGAGCAATTCCAGAAGCAGGCTGGATTCCCTTGCTCCACACGTATTACCATGTCCATTTATTCCCCTCTCCCAGGAAATATGGCCGCAGTGCTGCATCATCTCAGACTTTCTCCTCCCAAGCAAAAAATACCCGTGTAGAAACTTATTTGCTTTTCCCCCCATGTCTACCCACCAAAATCAAGTCAGACAGATGTAGTGCTAAAAAATCGTTATGCTGTAACGTGTCTAAATCCTGTGTTAAAAATGAGCCATTGTATAAAAATATCCATATCTTTAAAATCTCAGAGGTGTCTTGGGAAGGAAAATATTTTAGGCCCATTCACTTGAAAGCAAGTGCTGTGGGAAGAGCTGGCTAGCTCTCCTCCCCTGGCTCCCTGGCTCAGCAGGTGCAGCAGCTCTTACAGCAGAGCGAGGTGCGCTCCCAGCACGGGTGACTGGTGCATCTCAAGGAATTTCCATCTGCCTACACGCATCCTTGACAGCATGAGCCTCCGCTTCCCCTTCCTGACCAAGCGGGTGCTGAGGTGGGTGTAAGAAATGCCTGACCTTCGCCGCCTCCTCCCCCACCTGCCTCTGTCGTGCAGGTGCTGCTGCCGTGGCCCTGGCACTGCAGCCCCTGAGAGATGGTGCCAGTTCTGCCCTCTGCGTTGAACGTGTATTAAGGGTTTCGTACAGCAAATGTTTGTCAACCCTCCTAAAATTTTGCCTGGATAATTTTTCCTTTATAAATTGTCACTGTGATTTTCTCCATTGTCGTGTTCCCCACAATTACATGCAGACCTTAAGCTCTACCAGGTAAGGGCAGAGAAGCTCTGCCTTCAAGTATCAGTTTGTACAGAAATTACTTGGATTAATTCACTAGGAGCCAAATGACTGTGTAGACTGTGCTATCCAAGGATGCAAGGGCACGTGCCAAGTGCCTGTGGCCTCAGAAACCATTGGGTAACTGCTCACTTAGGAATTTTGCAACATCACTTGGAGGCTGCTAGCTGCACGAGTGCTGAGTTGTCACAGGTAACTCGGCAAGCACAAACTGTCCTCCTGCAGTACACGTTGCCTTCAGAGAGGGCTTCGTGACTCGTAGTTTAACTTTTCTGCAGGAATGGTGGATTACCTTTAGGGCTTGCCAAGGGATTTAATGGTTATTTTCATCCAAAATAACCTCTTGTTAAAAAGATGATTAAAATATTGGTTCTACCTTTAAGTATAAAGAGAAAAAACATCTTTCCTTTTTTTTTTTTTAACCAAAGAAATCCAATTCTATTTTAGTAACATATTTTTAGAACTATCTAGGTAACACTAAGAAGACCAAAAGGGAGCCTTAGAGTGCCAAGTAAGGTTTGGTGAAAAACATTTCACATTGCGTACTTCAGGTTTTCATCCCATTCATATCTCTCAGGGGAGGAAAAGAAACTGAATGGGGAAGATCCACCTCTAGTTTAAAGCAAGAAGCCTGAAATTAGTAACCTGATATCTGAGACAAGTGTAGTAGATGGTAATATAATTAATAGATTTTTAAGAGCTGCTTATTTTCATTACTGTGTTGCATACTGTAAACTATCCAATGGTGGAAACTCCATTAACAGTATTACTGTGGAATACGCTGTCTGTATGCTGATAACTGGATGCATTTCTGCTTGAAGTCTAATTTTAGTCTTCCTCTTTGCACTTGCTGGATTCTTTGTGTGGAGATAGTCAGTCCTTGAAATTTGATTTATAAAAAAAAAAAAAATAAATGTTTAATCTTCACACAGGACTTGTGATATAAAAAAGATCCATAATGAATCCTTGAATAATTTATAATAGCTGAGAGGTGTTCATACTTCTTACTGACCCTAAGACAGTTTCTAACGAGCTTGAAGGAAAGTGCTCTTTCAATGTCTTGTCATTTCATCTCTCGATAGTCGAGCTATAGGAGAAGGTGGGAAATTCACTTGGCTGCAGGGTCTTTTTGTATAGAAGCAGTAATTTTTCCCTTAACAATAAATTTCCATGCAGTAAATACTAAGCTGGAAGCTGTGTTGCAACTGTAGTAAGATTTCTGTGGGAAGGAGGGTAAGATCAGACTGGATGTGCATCTTTCTGTTTCTCTTAAAAGTAGCACATCTGTTGGGAGCAAAAACGCCCTTCAGATTTCACACACACGCACTTTCCAAAAAAAAAAAAAACAACCCAGCCAACCGCAAAGTGGAAGCAACCTGCCCAGGCCAGCACTCTGGAGCCTCAGTTTTCTGTCAAGTGATTATTTCTTCATTTGTTGCAGGAGAGAATTTTGACCAGAGTCCCTTAAGAAGAACCTTCAAGTCCAAAGTTTTGGCGCATTATCCACAGAACATCGAGTGGAACCCCTTTGACCAGGATGCCGTCAACATGGTGGGTAGAGAAACTCTCTTCTCAAGCTCTTTCCTGACAGCTTCAGTTCTCGTGTGGTTCCTGGGCTGTTCAAAACCACCCCTTGTGATGTGATGAACAGGCACTTCTGCTGGGACTAAGAGAACCCACTAGGCATGCTGGTTGAAAAGCTGTAGAGGAAGAGGTAATGTGAAAATCAGAATATTTTAAGGCACAACATAAGTAAAATGCTGTATTGTGCCCATTAGTTCTAGTTAAATCTACTGCATGATAAACAAGTCTAACCACCAGCTCAGTGACTGGGTGAGAAGGGGTGTAGTCACCCCGTATGCACATCCACAGGAGGGAAGGGGGGGAACCAAGGAATTCTCAAGATAGAAATTTCACACGGATATTCCTGCGTACAAAAAACCTTGATACTGCATATAGCAAGGGAGAGAGGAATCTTTACAGAGAAGCTGGAACTTATCTAAACCACAGCTTTTGGTGGGCGGTCACTTTTAACCGCACCTCTACACCAACGCATCTTCTGTACGCCTCTTTCCTCTCAGCTGAATTTGATGTGAGTTTGTCTATGTGGCTAAATCCCATCAGCAGGGGAGGGGGGAGAGAACAGTTTCTGGAGTTTTATGTGGGAGCACTGACAACTAAAAGACTGATGATCCAGTGGAAATTTTCCCAAAGAGCTGATATTCAAAGAATATTTCCAAAATCACCAAAGCAGTTGTCTTTGTCAGGACTTGTTCTTAGCAACAGATTACTGGTATGTGAGGTAAGCTTCCCAGTACAGAAAATGCTATTTGTTTTACAACTTAAAAGTAAGCAGGTTTTGTAATAACAACATTAAACAATACTACCGATTCCAGCTGTTTTTAAAAATGTGTATTGGGTCTAATTCAGATTTGGAAAATTAGTGAACCCCTTTCCCTCAATGTAGTTTAGACGTGCTTTGCATTTGAGTAGGGTAGGACGACATGCTGGCTACTTGAAAATAGAACCAACCTCATTGTATGGTGCAGGTAGGAAGTCAAGAGAATCTCCTGGCCCTCACAAGGGAGGTGGAGAGTCAGGGAACACATAAAACTCACAGTAAAATGGCTTTGGCTAAATGCAGAAATGCATTTGGAACTTTTCTGCAATCATGAAGATGTAGAAATCTGAAGTTCATTTGAATTTTCACTGATGTTTATTTTTTTAGCCAAATATTTAACATGAAAACGCAGGGCTGGAAGTAGCAGTGGCAGAGAGCTGATACTGTCTGTAGCACTGCACATGCACAGAAGGGCAGAGATGAGCCTGGTCACTCCTCTGACCACTGACAGCCGGGGATTTCTGTCCTCTGCTTCCAAATGTGCACTGATGGAGATGGTGTGGTATTTGGGCAGGTCTCCACATCACACCTTATACAGAAGGCATGAAGGACTCGGAACGATGCTTCATCAGCACAGTTAAGGTGGTAATAACTTAACTGCCAAGGCTATTTATGCCTTTTAGTCCTGCATTTGAATGGGGGGTGTTCAGAGAGGTGGGGACAGGGAGGGGCAGCAGGGATTATAGAGGTAATAGCTGGAATTGCTGCATTATTTGTCTCTCACATTACAGTTGGAAATGTCTAGTATTCATGAAGTGCAATCATATTATCGGACAAAAATGGAATACTAAAACCAGCAAGAGACCTATTAAAATAAAATAATTGAACTGAGCTGCATTCAGCTGAAATCAAATACCTGAAGAACACATCTTTCATTTGCAATGTGTCTTGGAGGAAGGAAAAAAAAAAAGGCAAGCATTTACTAACAGCATCAGTATTTAATGGTCTTTTAAATCATCTTCTGGAAAACTTCTTTATTGTTTTGATCTGAAACATCATTTAAAGTAATATCCACCTCCACACAATCCCTTGAGGCAATTATTGGCCTTTCTGATCTTGCCTTGCTGTATTAGTTCTGCCTATGTGTTTGCTTTATGTGAGCTTCCAGAAGCAATTTTCCTCAGAGAAGAAAATGCATAAATCCTTGAAGGTTAACTTGTGAGAACTCTGGCTTTCCTGGATGCCAAAGGAATTTCAATTGCCTTCTGAAACCATCCTGTCGCTTTAAAAATAACCCCCTGAAGTCCCAAGCAATCACTCTGCCTACGAGTCATGTTTTCTCTCCCTTTCAAAGTGTATATCAAAGTACAGAGTTCTTTTTAATGAGGGAGTATTTCTTTCCCCCTACTGCTCTTTGTGATTATCCTTGCCTAGCGTCACATACTATCTTCGGTGGCCATTCTGCAAGTTGTATGGTGTACCAAACTGGAGTTCTCAGTAGAGAGGAGAGTGATATTTTTAGGAAATAAACCTCCTATTTTAGCCCTCTGGTTCATCAGGGTATATAAATCTCGTATTTCTGAAGCCTAAGAAAGCGTTTTCTGCTTAACATGTCATGTACTGAAATAAAAGAATTAAAGACTCCCCAGTGTAATTTGAAGGAGCAGTCTTAAATACAAACAAAAGCATCTTCCTCCCCACCCCCAGCAAAATTGGAGTATGGAGCTTACTGCCACGGCATGTTATGAATGTGAAAAATATACAGGGGCTTAAAAAGTGAACTGGAGGATCTAGTGGAGAAGAGGTGAACTGATGGGCAGTGATTCAAAAGGGTCCGCAACTGATGCTGGCTGGAAGGGCGGAGGGATTACCGTGTGTGTGTAATGTCCTGCCCCTGTGTTCAGGAAAAGGCTATCTCCTACTCATCACTTCTAGAGATGCTGTATGGCTCAGCTGACAGCTTTTCATCTGTCTTTGGGTAGCTTCCTTTTGTTTTTACAAACCAGGTTGATTATAAGCCTTTTTGCAAGTATGATTTAATTCCACATTTTTCTGCTGATAGATAGGTTTACATATAAATAGTAAAGTGCTCTGAAAACCAACATCCTGTCCTCTGCTCAGTAATCTTGGGTACTTTTCTGTGTTTATACACAGATGCAATAAAGGTGACCGACTCTCACGGTCAGTCAGCCAGCTTCACCAGCAGGCAGAGCTTTCACGTCCCGAGCTGCTCTTCCCCAACGCTCTCCGGTGCCGTGTGTGACACACACAGACGAGATGGGAAGTGATTGATGTCCTCAGCACTAAGATGAAAGTTTTTATGCGTTAAGTGCAAATTTGAAGCTTTCTGTATTGCTGGAAAATGAACATAGGCCCTTCCTTTTAATCTTAAGTGACTCAGTCGTTCTTCCCTGCCTCGGTGCTTTCCCATCTTCTTTCTTTCTCTGCCTTTTCCTGTGTCATCTTGTATGTTTAACGACAGTGGCAGTCTCTGGGCCAGGATTTGCTGCTGGGGTCTTCAAAATAGAAATATTCTACATATGCTGGGCTGTGGCTGAAACTTAGTAGATGGGTGTCCCTTTGTGTGTGTATACCCCATATATAAAAGACGAGGGAATAATAATTAAGACTTGGAGGAAACTTATTTAATACAACCTTCTGAAACTGTCTTAGCTGGCCTGAATTTCCTTGATGCTTATCTGTTCTTGATTGTACCAGTACATATAATTTGCTCTTCCAGGCATTTTTCTGTAAAGTCAAGAAAATATTATCTTTGATAGTGTTGAGATGAAAACGTATGATTTTGGCCTGATAGGATTTGATAAGGCTATAACTGCCATTGAACACCCACATTCTAGAAATAAATTTTTGTTAAGCAAGCCTGCCAAAAAATGAGGTTAAGAGATATTTATTGTGCAGAATAAAGTTAAATAAAATGTGAAACAAGGGGATTTTTACTACTTCTTTATTGGAGAAGCCTTAACCATGGCACTGCTGTTAATGCCTCAGTAAAAACTATAAACCTCTTGAATGAAAATGAGGCTGCCATTCAAAAATAGTTCAGGTTGCAATTTAATGGTTTATGTCAGCAAAGCCCATCAACTGAATTAAATTCTTCTACCAACTCCAGGCTGTTTATTTCCCTATACATTACCTTTTAGAGGAATATATAAGAGCTGTCCTAGATAACTTAGGGGCTTGCTAGCATGTTGTGGAGTCTGGACCTTTTGCCTAAATCTCAGCTGGGCTAGTAGCAGCTTTATCAGGTTGTCGAATGGTATCTGCAAGGTGCACTGGTGAAGTTCAGGATAGGATGTGCCTGAAAATGTAGAATTATTTCCTCTTGACCTCTTCCACTATCAAAAAAATTTACTCCTGGTGAAGGAGGATGCATTCAGTCGTGTGTAGGTTCACATACCTTGGGAAAGCTGGCTTCTAGTGTGGCCTTTTGAAACAGGAGGAACACTTTCAAGAGTCTTCCTTCCCTTTTATTTCTTCAGTTGGAAGGTACAAAGGAAGCTTTAGTTCTTCGTTTATAAACACACTGATTTAGCTAGAACGTAAGGAGTTTCATGCTGACACACATTCAAACAAGTTTTGATGTATGTTTGTTATTTTGTATTAGATGGCTGATAGAATTCCTGAGGAATGCCTGGAAAAATGCCTTGAGTTATCACTAGGGCTATGCTTCAGAGAAACACCCAGTGTAATAGAATCAGTGCAAAAGATTTTGCTGAGTGGTAAATCAAAACTGAGGTTTTTGTAGATTTTGGGTGTTTCCCCACCATCCCACCCTTCTTTCTCCCAATGTAATTTTGTAGCACTTAAGGAAGATAATAAACGTTATAGCTGTCAGCCAATTGTTTTGCTTTCTTTTAAGAAAATTAAGGAAGATCAAAGAATTTCAACAAGTCTGTAATTTTAATTCAGTCGTATAAGATGCTCCCTTGGCTCTCTGATTTTTAGAGTGCTGTGGGAACAATATATGGGAGTGAGAACAAAACTGGATGTCCTTATGTGATGCTTAAGTAAATGAGACAAAGGCTGTTCACTAGGCAAAATAATTTTACAAAGTAATGAAAATATATCATAATGACTTAATAGATGGGTGATTTTGGAGGGTGTTTTCCTTTCTTCAGTAAGCCTATCTCTTCTTTCAAGTAGCATCAGTTTTAGGCTGTTTGTTCTTGGGCTGGTTTTTCGGGGCATTATGTGTAACGATAAATGGTGTGTTATGATGTGGTGGAAAAAAGAGAATGTGCCAGCAAAGCAAAAGTAACAAAATTGTAGCTTAGATAATGATATCTATTTCTTTTTTCTCTTTTGTTAGCTGTGTATGCCCAAGGGGCTGTCTTTCAGGACGCAGGCAGATAACAGAGATCCACAACTCCATTCGTTCATCATCACCAGAGAAGATGGCTCTCGTACGTACGGGTTTGTGCTCACGTTCTATGAGGAGGTCACGAGCAAGCAGATCTGCACGGCCATGCAAACGCTCTACCAGATGCACAACGCGGAGCAGTACAGCAGCGTCTGCGCCTCCTCCTCGTGCAGCATGGACTCCCTGGCCAGCAGCATCGATGAGGGCGATGCCACTTCCCTCGCCAAGCTCCAGCGGTACAACTCCTACGACATCAGCAGAGACACGCTGTATGTCTCCAAATGCATATGCCTCATCACCCCTCTGCCCTTCATGCAAGCCTGCAAGAAGTTTCTGATCCAGCTTTACAAGGCGGTGACCTCCCAGCAGCCACCGCCACTGCCCCTGGAGAGCTACATCCACAACATCCTCTATGAGGTGCCCCTGCCGCCCCCGGGCCGGTCACTGAAGTTTTATGGGGTTTACGAGCCCATCATTTGCCAGAGACCTGGGCCCAATGAGCTGCCGCTCTCTGACTACCCGCTGCGGGAGGTCTTTGAGCTGCTGGGCCTGGAGAACCTGGTCCAGGTTTTCACCTGCGTTCTTCTGGAGATGCAGATCCTGCTGTACTCACAAGGTGGGCACCTGGCTGGCGATGCATGTTGGGTCAGTTCCCGGGTGGCTGCAGCCACAGGAGCTAACACAAAGCTGTTGATTTTCAGCAGATTTATGAAATGTGAGAATGTAATGAAAAAAGGGGAGAGAAATTGGTCTGTCCTAATGAAATCCCTAAATAATTGTTTCCTCCAGGCAGTCTAGATGCTGCTTGTTTAATTATGCATTGTATTTATCACTTGTGACAGCCAGCAATAGAATTCACTTAATTATTATCCTTACACTGCCCTTGATCATGCTGCAAGACAGCATGAAACTAATCCTATCTTCTGCAAAAATACCAGCAGAATGTAATAAATCTTGCAGAAAACACTCTTGCTAATTTCTTTTTCAAATTTCAGTAGCATACTGACGTTTGAGATTTCCTTCCTCCTGTCTGAGGGCCATGTTCTGATTTAAGCACTGAGTTGTTCAGCCCTTAGAGGCTGAAGTTTTAATGCTGGGTTGGAAGTGGAGTTACACGGCATCCCTCTGTATTTCTACCTGAGATATTTGGGAACCTTTCTGACAAGGATGCTGGTGCTTCTTTTTGAAACACTTAAGACTGCAGTTGGCAAAGGCTAGCTATGCTGGCGGAATTGCTTGCACAGAGCCTGTCCGCATCGAAGTATGCCAGCAAGCCTTTGAAAAGCTGGCCTCTACCTTTTCTCTTCTGGGTGTGTCTTTCTGCAATAGTACAATACTCTGCTGCAGGTTTTGGGAATCCTGAGTTAGTGCTGGGCAAGCTCTGAGGTTTTACACCCCTATTACTGTTTCCTGCGTGATGTTGGATGCTGTGAGTCTGGCCCTGGCAGTATTTGGGTGCCAAAAGGTACGTGCTCCGGCTGTTGCAACGCACCAGGGTGCCCAAACAAGTCAAGTTCCAGTTTCCTGCTTACTTTCAAGGGGTTGTCCAGACTCTTTGGAGGTACCTCTAAGTCTCGCTGAATGCCTCTCTAAATTACTTGGTTTCCTGCAATGCTAAGGCTGAATTAGTAAAACCTTTTCCTCAGGGAAAATGTTTGAGAGGGGTGGTTTCATCAGACTAGAATGAACAACATGAAGCCAGGAGGTGAGCATACCTTCTAACAATGAGGAGATGGTGAATACCTGGGCTTCTCAAGAGGTATGGTTCAGGCAGTATCTCGAAATTCAGACAACTTGAAATGGAGAGGAGAGAGGATGGGGAGTCATCCAAAATGAGTATGGGTAATGAACCTCAGGCTCCAAAACTGAACGCTTGGATTTGTCATATAAAAGAAAAGGTCAGTAAGAGTAACAGTAACACTAATGAATAAATGACTGAGAAAGGGAAGAGTGTTCAGGGAGGTGGAAGGAGGATGGTAGTTCTGAAAATTACTGAATTCAAAGGATTGCCAGTTCTCTGCAGAGTGCTTCTCCACACGGGCTCCAGGGGTTTGCTTTCAAGAACCAAAAATGAAGGGCTTTATCTGCTCTCGGTTTGAAGTGTGAGCAGAAATCCTGCTGCTGGTTTGGATTAGGCTGCTTTTCCCCTCCCTTCTGCTTCTGTGCACGTGAGCCTACCCCTTTCTTCCTCGCTTTGAATCGTGCTGTCTTTGCCGCTCGACACCCGGGTCCGACATTATGCAGCAACACCACTGGAATGCCTCCCCAGCCCTGCTTGTCCTTCCCGCCCTGGTGGTCCCTGCTTATGGACTCACTGAAAATGGATTTTTTAATTGCTCTTTTTTTTTTTTTTTTTACTGTAAGCTGGCTGCATTAGGGAACATCTGCTTGTCAGATGTCTTTTCAGTAGTATTTTGTTACCCACTAGATTTTTTCAGTGCCACCAAAAATTAGGTAAATCAGCGTTTTTTCTCCCAACTACAGGCTGTAATTTAGGAGTTTACTTGTTTTGTCTGTTGTCACTGTGGTGGGTTTGTTTGTTCTGTTTTGTGGGGTTTTCTTAAAAAGAAAAATGAGATAGAATTAATCCTCTTCACCCTCCAAAATTCTGACTTCAAACACGCATACTGCCCCCACTCTTCCCCCCCTTGATGAATCTAGGGATGTCCTTGACACGACCGTTACTTTCCCTATCTAATATAGACACAACTTGGTGGCACGTGGGGGGAGTAGCACACACTTGCACTAGGGAAATTCTGTGATTATGCAAATAGCATCGTAATGCTGGTTCCCGGAGGTGAGGAATGTGGAGTGGAGGTCAAGTGCAAAGCCTCAGTATTGGCATATCCTGATAGCTGAGTGCTTGGCTAATTGTGCGCTGTGGCTTCTCTTAAAGGTCAGTCTTGCGATTCCTGAAAGAGGAAAACAAAGCAGCTCTTTTCCTATTTGAGAAATAATTAGGCTGGATGCTACGGAAATCTCCTCTCTAAGCTTTGAGATCCATCAGGGGGAAATGCTTTCTTAACTCTCAAGTTCTTTCAAGGCAAAAGATGAAAATAAATTCTTGGCTTACATACCTCTTGTTCCAAAGTAACAAATGAGAACAGTGATTTTGCAAATTTGTCCTTCCTTCCCGTTCTGCTTTATAGAGTATGGACTTGCTGTGCTTCCAGTGGCCTGCCTTGCTGCAACACTCCCAAACTGAACAAGAGTTTTGCGTCCACAGGGTGCAGTTTCAAGCAAGACAGCATTATGAGCTCAAAGTCAGAATTCGCTGAAATGTTACAATACTCAGGAAATCAGAGCACTGGACCAAAGCGTAGTTCAGTTCACCAAAATGTTTCAGTGAGAGTGCTGCTAATAGCACATCTGGGAAGCGTAAGCTGACTTTTTTTGCGGTTCTCCTAGCCCTGTTGGAGGAAGCTTTTCACTCAAGCTTGCAAAAAAAAAAAATTTTTTTTCTTCTTTTTTAAAGAGTAAAGGCTTCTGTTGGAAAGTTGAGTGCAAAATACAAATTGTTGCACAACCTGGACGATCCAATGAGCCTGCTGGCCGTCTGCTGGGAACCTGAGATTTCTCACTAAACATCTGTCCACTAAAGGCAGATTACTTATTGCAGCCAAGAGCGAGCAGGAGAGACGTGAAGACTGCAAACACTGGAAACAACTGGTCAAACAGCTTTAGTTCCAAACTTTATAGGCGAGCATGGGCAGTGGGCTGCTGGGAGAAAGGATGCTGGTCAAGTGGAGTTGCACCTGGTTGGCGATAAAAGCAGCGAAGGGCTGTCAGGAAGGTTGCACAGAGACCGCACTGGCTTTTCTGGAGCGTTTTTTCTCAAGTGAACTAGTAGTTGTTGATGAAAAAGTTTATTTTTAACCTTGTAGCTGAGGCATAATGTTTCCAGCAGCCTCAACAAAGGCATCCGACTCAACCAAGAGGTGAGGGTGTTAGGTGACTTTACCCAGCTTGCCCTGGATGTGCTCCCAGTATGAAATGATAATTTCTGGCACAGCTCTACAGTGAGGACAGGACCAATTGTTAGCTGTTTGTACATGGCTGCTACTGTCAACTTCGGGTACCTAGTTGCTGTGTTCATGGTGCTTTCCAAGTCAGTGGTATCCCAACACTTGTGCAAATGAAAGGATTGCAGCAGACTGCACCTTTACTTTGCAGTTGTGGTGGTCCAGCAGAGGGGTGGAGAGACTGACATAAAAGAATGATGAGCTCATTTTTGAGCTTGTTTAAGCTCTTCCATTCTCAAACATTTTGGACTGCAGGCAACTACCTTAATCCTCAATCTCTCTCAAGTTTACAGATTACACTTTAAAGCAAGCTGGTGCTATAGAGCTATTTCTGTGTCTTTACAAACCAGTTTGGGAACTACTGGTGTGGATAATTGTATTGTTCTGGGGCAAAAGCCACTGTGACCAAAGTGTTTCAGCCTGAAGCTGTGAAATGTCTGTGCGGCATGGGAGCAGCAAACGGTGCTGTGGCAGTGTTGGGCCAAACACAGAACAAGGCAGGGTAGCTGGCAGAGACCTGTGCTTGCACCCTAAATGGCAAGACTGAAGAGACAAGTCCTCATTGTTAATGGAGGCAGCGTGGACTTCCAGGGAGTTAATCAGAATCACTGTTGGTGGGTAGATGTAATAGACTCCTCTAAGTGCCGACTGTGGCCTGCAAAGGTGATGCAGAAAGCTGTACCTGAAAGCACTAGAAGCAGGACGACCGGCTCTGTGCATGTAGAGATTACTTTTAACTTTAAGTAGGGCCAAATTTTAACAATGGGGCTTTGAAAACCAAGGTGGGAGGGATTAGATATTTTTTTCCCTGCAGTTCTTCAGGGTGCAGTCTTTGGTTTGCAGCTTTATAAACTTCATCCTCTAAAAATCAAAGCTTGGATTATGGTGTGTTCCTGTGACTTTCAAAGGAAGGACATAAGAACTGCAAGACTCACAGTAAAGCAGGAAAAACTGATAGTCATAGTTGTGATCACTAAACAAGGCACTGCAGGACATACATATGAAACAGGCTTGCTGTTGTAGTTTTATTATAGTTTATTCAGTTCTAGAAATTAGTACTCTTGCAAGTGCCCTTTGTTTTGTTCAGAGTACAGCTGTCCTGTGACTGTGGAGATCTAAGGGTACTGTGGTGTCCAGGCTTCCCACAGTGCCCAAGTTAGTAACACTGATAGCTGCTGCAATTTCCCAAGGATCGGTAACACAAGGCCACTGGTGTGAGGTGTCTGCTGGAGAGAGATGAATTAAAATCTGAGCTCTGCAGAAACCTCAGCAATCCATTTTGTATGTCTGCCTTTCTAGGGATTTAAATGTGAGAGGGAACGTGTGGCTGAGATAGAGATAAACTTCTTGGAGCTTAGGCCGTTTCAACTCATTATAATTTTGAGCATTTCCCAAGTTGTTTTTCAAAGGGCTTGAGTAATTGCTACTCAAAGATTGAAATATTCTTTGCATTTTTTTTTCCGTCTTAGAAATTATAATGCAAATGACTATGCATACATATATAGTCATCACCAAGGAAAAAGGTGGCGTCTGAAAGAGCTTTCTTACAAAGTCTGTCATGGGGGAGATCTTAAAAAAATGAATGCATGCATGA